GGACCACTACTAAAAATCCCAGACATTCCTTGTCTATCTTTCAGTTAACGCTGTTGTTAAATATAATTTTTCCCCCAGTAGCTTCTATTCAGTCTGTACTTAGCTTTCTCATCTGATTGGGTGTCTAGTATACCCCTTTAGAGACTGCAGATTAATCTCTTTAAATATCACTCATTACTAAAACATTTTTCCCTTTGATAAGCTGAATAAAAGTCTTTATCTTAATTCTTCTATACTGATAGTATGTAATATCAATGCATAATCCCCAATATGAAAACATTCCGATACTTTTACCTTCTTTAAAACTACGTAAAACATCTACAATAGCAAAACCTCCCAACAATTAAAACAAAAAAAAGCACAGTTCTGAAGCATGTGCTTCATTTATCATAGAATTGTGGAATGGTTTGGGTTAGAAGGAATCTTAAAGATCTTCCACTAGACCAGCTTGCTCAAAGCCTCACCCAGCTTGGTCTTGAACGCTTCTAGAGAGGGGACATTCACAACTTCTCTGGGTAACCTGTTCCAGTGCCTTATCATACTCACAGTACAGAACTTCTTCCTAAAATCTAATCTAAATCTACTCTCTGTCAGTTTGAAACAATTACCCCTTGACCTATCACTGCACTCCCTGATCAAGAGAATCATAGAATGTGTTGGGCTGGAAGGGACCTAACCCTAACCCTCTAGTCCAACCCTGCAATAAGCAGGGACATCTTTAACTAGATCAGGCTGCTCAGAGCACAGTCCAACCTGACCTTGAATGCCCTCAGGGATGAGCCCCTCCCCTTCTTTCCTGCAGCCTGGAAGGCTGCTGTAAGGTCTTCTCAGAGCTTTCTCTTCTCCAGGCTGAACAACCCCAACTCTCTCAGCCTGTCCTCTTAGGGGATGTGCTTCAGCCCCCGATCATCTTTGTGGCCCTCCTCTGGACTCACTCCAACAGGTCCATGTCTTTCTCACACTGAGGGCCTCATGAGAGCAGGCCAGAGGGGCAGAATCACCTCCCTCAAGCTGCTGGCCACACTCCTCTTGATGCACCCCAAGATGCGATTGGCTTTCTAGGCCGAAAGCCCACATTGCTGGCTGATGCTCAACTTTCATCTACCAAGACCCCCAAGTTCTTTTCTGAAGGGCTGCTCTCAATCCACTTGTGACTCAGCCTGTATTTGTGCTCGGGATCGTACTGACTCAAGTCAAGGCCCACTTGGCCTTGTTGAACTTGATGAGCTGTGCATGGCCTCACCTCTCAAGCCTCTCAGGGTCCCTTGACACAGAGTCAATGTCCTTTTATATTGAGCGTAAAAGCCTTCTGACTCGCTTTTGCATATACAGCAGTGCCAACAATGTTCTTCTGTTAGAGATCCCTGATTTACTTTTTGGTTACTACAGTAACTATTACAATAGGATACTTAATCAAAAGCAAGCAACTGAAACTCATCTTATGCCTGGCAAAATACAGTCCAATGGCTATCACTAGAAACCATGGTTTGTAAAAAAATTAGCACAAATTTCTATTTTTACCATTTCCAATTACTGACTTTTACAAATCAATTTCTTTTGAATAATACTGATGAACTTAAGATGAAATCAAACAAGTAAAGATATAGCATCACCAACTCCATTTAATCAGAGATGTAATTTCCTTCCTGCATGTAGTACAACAAGTGAGACCTCATGGAGAAAGAACAGTATATACATGTTAAAATGCTTGTGGGTCTATAGGCCTAGATTTTCATATTACAAGGACCTTTTAAAGTCTGATGTGCTGTTCAGACAACTCTCCTTGCTTAGATGGCAAGACATCCAATTTTTCAGAATATGTTATTTGTGACACATAGCATCTTTTGAAAAACTTCCCTTATCAGAAGTCATTATACTCAGTGATACACCTATCCTAAGCAGGTAAAGTTGTTCTGTTCGATACTATGGTAACATAGTAAGTTTATCAGGACATTTTGCTTTTTTTTAATTAGGATTACTTCTAGCTGAGTCTACCCCAGGGAAATAATGAGAAAGTTTACCCTAAGCACATCTTATTTACAGGAATGCTTGCATATACATGTGTTAGTATAGAGACAGGTAACCACACGTCTATAAGACCTGGTTGTATTGATATGACATTCAGTCATTCAGAAAAATATCTATTAAACAAGGAACTACATAAGGCCTGTCATCAAGTGCTCAAAGTCACTGACTTAATTTGAATAAATGGAAACAGAAACACGAGCAAACCCCTACAGGGTTTGTATGAAAAAAATACTGTAAATATGACCCTGCATCTACATGACAGGAAACACAGAGTGAGAGCTGTATCACATACATTCTAGGTTCTTAACACCCAGAATGATGAAAATGCATTTCTAGTGGAGATGCTGCACACAAAGTAAAGACATTAATAGATTGCTTTAAATTAGGCAATCTGAAACTATACTTTGAAGAGTGAATCAAACAAACGCTAGCCGAGGATTATTCAGATATTTGATGCGCTGAAAGCAGGATGGTATCAGAGTTGATCTTTTGCACCTTTGCCATCTGTGCCAGCCTAAACACTGACCTCTTGCAAGTACTGCATTTATCAAACTAAAAAACTGTTGAACAGCCATTCTTGGGAAGGAAGCATCTCTTGAAAAATTATGCAAGTATCATGCATCTGGTGATGCCTTCATTTAAATCATTGTTAATATAGGTAAGCATCACATTACATTTTCCTTTGATTACATCCTGTGTATTTTTTCCTATTACATTTTATATTTAGTTTTACACTCCTAAGTTTTTAATCACACAGCTGTATACTTCTGAGAAGTCAAACCATGCAATTAATTAGTGATCCAATAAAATGAATCATGAGTTCTTCATTATTTGGTCACTTTCAGCTCACATTGAGAACTCTCAAGTACGACAATTTATCAGTTACAATAAAGCATCAAGGTGAAACCATACCAAGGGAGGTTTCTTTTATCTATGTCTCATGCTGCAAGACTGACCTCCTGTAGTCATGCCAATGACTGGAGTGATGAAACAGTCTCCAAAGGATAAGATTTAGGAAGTTTTAAACTCTTTTTTAGTGTTTAGGTCGAAAGGAGTGCATCCTTACTTTGGTAGTGTCTAGCTTTCAAGGAGTGTATCTGCCTTTGGGTAGAGGTATTACTATTAAGTTAGACCTATTGCACCCAGATCAGAAAGCAAGATTAAATATAGTCCATTAGATACTAAATGCACACAAGAACTCATCCCAGCTTTTGGAGGAAAATTACATATTTGCAGCTTTATGATACAAGCTCTAATCAGAGGTTTTACTAAGTTCAGTAGGCCTTGAAGCCTTTAGAAGCAAGCTTTGGAAGCAGACAGAAATCCTATAGAATCACATACAGGTAGTCACCTGTATGAGAGCTAATTCGCGTGCATGTTCAAAGGTACAAGAATAATTCATCTCAGTGCTAAAAAGCTTTCCCTCTAATAGCTTCACTTCTTTTCAAAAGTATTTAATTAGCTTTCATTCTGTGATGTTTTCTCTTTGGAAGAAAAAATGGTGCTTGGAATAAAATGCTGCAGAAGTGGTTGAACAAGGAGACGCGAGTCCTCCATTAGACCTGATATGTCTAATGCCTGTTTGGGATCCTCTCACAGCGAATCAAAGACATGGGTTCACATACCATTTCAGGCACAAGGGGGATCAAAGCCTAGGCCTCCCACATTCTGAGTGCTTCCAGCTCTGCAACCATATATTTCTTTCATGAAGAATCTGGGTATCTAACTTTGCACTTTCTTCTTGCGCCATACATCAAACTGGTTCATTTTAAGAAAGTCACTACTTGACTAAAGCTCAAAAATAGTCAAACTGCTCTTGAACCACACATGCCTTTTGGGAAGGTACTGCATTATTCTCAGTATTCGAAAATTTGCCCAGATCTAACTGGTCACTAGAGAAGCAGAAAATCTTCTGTTCATCAAAACTAGCACTTCACATTGGGAATTACTCTTTAATGTGTCCTGTAAACCCCCAGCCTGCAGTCTTGCACAGGAAAATGTCAAGGATAGATGTCTCACTTAACACCCTACTTATCTGCTTCCAGTAACTGGGACTCACATTTAAGGTCAACTAAAAAATACAAGTGGAATCATATTTATCTAGTACACAAGGGGTGAATTCCATCATCAAAGAAACCTTACTGAAAATGAAAGAAAGTATGATAGGGACCACAGTAGAGTTACTTTCAAAACTTGTTATACTTGGTTATGAGAAGTGTTATGTTGTACTTGATTGTAGTGAGCTTATTTTCTCTCAAAATCATAGTCCATGTACACAAAATAGAAGTTAGGCAGCAACTAAAACGCATCTTTCTTAAACATTTCAGAAGGGAAACACATTTTTTTGGCTTTTGTTTTTCCTCAAAAGTTTCTTAGAAATGATGTGTCTAATATACATCTGAAATAACATAATGATGCTTTCAAAACACAAGTTAAATAATCATACTACTGATATACTGCAAAATAAATTGTATCCTTAGTATGTGGTTAACGAATTCAGCCATTACCCTCTGTTTGGTACTAAATAGTAGATTCTGTTGACACACTGCTGAATCATGCATATAGTATGTCTACTTCACAGACAAATCCTAATTTAACATGAGGATGCCTTTTTTTAAAAAAAAAAAAGAAAAAAACAAACCTGAAAGTAAGCACCTTTGAGCCAGAAATAATGGAAATTATTAGGGGCATAGGTACTAAATTGAATGGTTTAGTGCTGTTCCAAGTTCAAAAGCCATCCATTGTCTTCAGATAGAAATCCTTAATTTTCTTTCTACGTTGCCAAACTTAGAGAAAGTGAAGTTTAAACTGTGTTACAGAAGAGCAATTAGTAAAATTGGTTGTGTTGTCCTTACTGTGATTTCCTCCATTTTACTACTGGCTTTAAATACTTAGAGATTGTCTTATTAACATTTAAAAGTAGTAACCATAGTATCGGTAATGAAAATCAGTGCATACAAAAAGTGACTCACTTGGTTGCTGACGGTACTCTTCACTTTGAAATGGTCTGAATTCATAAGCAGATATTTTGTTTTTCAATAACAAAGTCAGAACATTATCCAGCTTCTCTACAGAAGAAAATTTAAAAGCCTGTTTAAAAGGAAAAAAAAAATTTAGTGCATTTGTTGCGTATGTCCTTTTAAGTTTATCCTCAGAGTGCTGGCAAATCAAATTACTCAAAACAGAGTTACTACAAACTCAATTTTAGTAACAGCATCATAATTTTTGAAAGCTACAAAAGAGATACTATAATAGGGAAGGATCATGAAAACACAATCTAACTGAAGAAAAACAGGAATTATAATTTATGAAGTTCAGCCATGACTAAAAATTTCTGGATGAAGGGTAAGGACAGGAAGATTTGTGTTTATCAACTCTCAATTTTGCTACAGCAATGCAGTGTAATAACCAGGAACTGTTCTTGAAGATGTGAAGTGCCAATAAATCCATTATCAAGTCCCATCGACAACCCAACACCATCATAACCACTAAAGCATGTCCCAAAGTCTCATCTTTGAACACCTCCAGGGGTAGTGACTCCACCACTTTTCTGGGCAGTCGGTTCCAATGCTTCGCCACTCTAAAGGTTCACCAAAGCCAGCAGAAAAAGTTAAGCACACTGCAAGGGAACACTGAGCCAGTCAGGAGTTTGAGAAAGCTCACATTTTATCTGAATAAAGATTCAAAACATGACACAATAGAAGTAAAAACACTACTTTCTCCCTGTGTCCTTGAAGGCAAGTTCTTTTCAGGAGCAGCTCAGAACTAAGCTAGTGAATTTGAAGGCAATTCTTCCAATGCTCTCAGAAGCACAGCAAGTTGCTCTCTGCTCCACTGTTCAATCTCAGTCCTTCTGCAAACGCTGCTGCCCACATCAGAGCTCATCACCAGCAGCTTCCCTTGCTCAGCACCACCTCCCCAAGTGCAGGCACTCACAGAATCACAGAATGTTAGGGGTTGGAAGGGACCTCTGAAGATCATCTAGTCCAACCTTCATCCCAGCATACCTAACCACTACACCATAGCTTCAAGTGCTAGATCTACTTTTTCTTTAAACACCTCCAGGGTTGGTGACTCCACCACCTCCCTGGGCAGCCTGTTCCAGTGCCTCACCACTCGTTCAGTAAAGAACTTCCTCCGAATATCCAATCTAAACTTACCCTGATGCAACTTGAGGCCATTTCCCCTTTTCCTGTCACTAGTAATTAGAGAGAAGAGACCAGCCCCAGCCTCACTACAGCCTCCTTTTAGGTAGTTGTAGAGGGCAATAAGGTCTCCTCTCAGCCTCCTCTTCTCCATACTAAACAAGCCCAGTTCCCTCAGCCGCTCTTCATAGGGCATGTTTTCCAGACCTCTCACAAGCCTTGTTGCCCTTCTCTGCACCTGCTCCAGCACCTCGATGTCCTTCTTGTACTGTGGTGACCAAAACTGGACACAATACTCAAGGTACTCTATTTCCCCACTCCCTTTTCAGAGTGACAGGACATGGCTGTGAACAACAAAGAAGCCCCAAGTGCTGACCATCACACCTGGGCTTCCAAAAATACCCTCAAAGAAATGGAAGACTAAACATATATTGCTACTTCTGTGAACAATATGATAGGATATTCTTTAATAACTGCTAACAAAGCACTGAAAATGTTTGCCACTGAAACACAGGATAGACAGCCAGTAAATTAACATATTTATCACTGGCTTTAGCAGTACCAACAAGGTTACATTTAGATAAAAGATGAAACTCCTCAGTAGTTCTTACACAGCAGACACTACTTTCTATACATTTCAATATATAGATTACTTCTGCCAAAGAGAATGGGGTAGACTTAGAAATCACTTAGGTGTTTCTGACAATTTAGGTCAGTGGTAGAATATGGAGTTATTTCATACTTAAAAGAAAGAAACATTTAAAACCAAACAGCTGTTGACATGGAATAAAAGATTGAAATATTAAAAGCAGTTTCAAAGGGAGTATCTCTGGGGATTGGACACATATATATAATATCACCACGTAAGTCATACAGCTATTTCTTACAACTTTTCATGGAAAAGGCTTCACTTTATTTTAGGTCTTTTTTTTTTCAATATACTCTATAGCTGGAATCCTGTTTGATGACTATTATAAAAACATCCTTTATAAGATATAAAATCTCTCAGGATAATAGGATTATTATTCAGGCAATTCCTGGATTTCTTTAGATATTCTGAGTCACTGAAACTAACATGAACCTATTAACTTCAGTAATGAGCATATAACCTTAGTTTCAATTTTTTATTTTTTTTTTAAATCAAAGCCTAAGAAAACTGTATCAGGAACTTCCAACACTAAATAAATTAATCAATAGTTGCATTTGTTAGAAAGTCTGAGAGAAAAATCAATACAGCATGTAAATTCAGCAGAATGTTGAAATGAGAAGTTGATGAAACTTAGAAAATTAAAAAGTTTAATTATGAATTATAAAAACCTTAAAATCCATCTGTGCACTGGTTTACTTAAGAAAAAAGTTCCCTAAGTGAGTTTCTTTAATACGAAATTATATGAAAGCAAAAGAACACAAAAAGTTATAGTCTTTTGTCAACATCCACCCTCATATATATTGATAGCAAGTTCATTCAGCATTGATTCAATTTTGATCCCAACTCTTTCTACTCTACCATAAAATTTCTGATTTTCGTCTTTCAAAACTTACACAAAGAAACTTATTTAATTTGCTCCTATTTATTTCCTTACATTTTAAGTGTTTATTTGGTTGTTTAAAATTTTTTGCTAATATTGCTAACTGATTTTTAAATTCAAATTTGGAACACAGAAAATTACAATCTATCAGATATAGCAAAGAATTTCATCCAACACCATGATTTGCAAAAATCTGAATGCTTTTAATCTAAACTATGGCTAACGTTAATCTTTAATTTCTCTCTAAACAGAGGAATTCGAAAGTGCACCAGTACCACACCTTACTGGTCTCCCACAAAGACCTATGAACTGACCTGACCATCAGTAAAAGGAATGGATAGCTGTAAGCCTATCTGTTGGGTTTTGTTTATCTTCTTGGCTTTATGAGGGGACAAAGTGGAGAAGGGGACAATAATCTCAACAACGATAGCATCTCAAAAAAGCTGGAAGGATTGGCAACACAATATACAACACAATGAAAGCATTTTACCAAAGCATTGTGTCTTTGGAACGCATTACTGTAGCAATTTGTTCTTATCACAGAATTTTAATACAGAGATACTTCTCAGATTGCAAGTATTTGTGAAAATCTTGAACTTTTCCTTGACTCATAGAGCGATATTCTTTTCATCAATAATTGCTGTAAGCTTTTCTATTTTATTTTAATTTTGTTTTCCATTGTGCTGATTGTTATTTTGCGTAGATGAACCACTGTTGCCCAGGATACTTCTGCAAATAAGCTGATAGTCTCAAAGGTTTTAATTATGCTGGTTAAATAAAAGTTGCTACTACTCCTGCTACTTGATGGGAATTCTAATTAGTATCAAGTCTGTTTTGTTTTTCCTTGCGTGAACATATTTTCAAAGATTAAGTTAAATGTTGTTCTGTGAATTGCTTCTTTATGACATATCCTATTGCCATTAAATCAGGTTTACATGAGAGCTTAGAGTATTTAAAAAATTTGTGGAAATAATTTAGTTACCTAGCTAGTTAGTGTACCTCACTTTGTGGCCTAGCAGGTACCATGAAAGATGATCCTCCAGCACATATGGACACTAACAAAACCAAGTATACCATTAGTATACTTTCTTACAGAACTGACACGGTATTGTGTGATTTGTAAAAGCTACCCGATTATAAAAAACTTTCTCAGCATTAATTAGACTGCAAAGAGCAGGCAAACACTGTCTCCTCATTTAAACCCTTGTTTATTATTCAGATGAGTAAAGGTGAGGAAATTGTTGAACATACCTGATAATCATAACACTACAGCTGTATTTCCTGGTGTGCACTACTGCTCTATGCAGAATTATTTTTTCATGTGAATGTAACTTGAATTGCATGTGTCTTTCTAAATATTAGTCATGCTGTTTAAAGGAAGGGTCAAACTCCTGAATAACACAAATAATTCTCCAGAGGAAATACCAGATGTGTTGTATGTATCTAGTTTACCATATTAATTATAATTTTTGTAATCATTATTACATACTTCTTACGTATAAATTTTTTTATAAAATCTGTTAGAAGCTTACTTCAATGTATTTCAAAATACAAGCTTAAGAATGATGGATACTATAAAGACTTTAAGAACTCACTTGTACTTAGAAGTGCACAATTTTTTTTTGCAACAGTCTGTTTACTTAGAACAGAAATGACTTGTATTTGGAAGGAATCTACCCCAGCCTTAACAGAACACTAACAATGCAATACATCATTTTTTATTAATCCTCTAGTTATGAGTGTAATGCCTTAGGTGGCAGATAAGGTAGATTTATCACAGGAAAATGAGACTGTCTGCACTGGTAACACAAACTATTATTTTTGTTCTGGCTTTGCAATTACAATATAGACATCATGACAAGTCTGCTTGGGCTACCTACCATTCAACAAATGATACTTGAGATTCTGTCCTTTCTTAATAGATGCTTTCTTTTCTTATTATCTTTTATGTGCCACTGGCAGAGGACATGCTGCAAAGCACTGCAGCCTGCTGAGCTGATTTGAAACCCAGCTCAAAATCTGAATTCTTCGAAATATATGCAAAGAATCTGCATGGCAACCAGCAAACCACATGAATGATAATTCAGCAGCTGTAAATTGACTCTATATGAATAGCAACCTACTGGCTTTCATACAAGCTATGCCAGAAAAATCTTGTTTCCTGTTGAATGAACAATAATTCTCCACATATAATGTGCTTTAAGATTATTTGCTTCTATTGGCTTTAGAAAATACTAACATTTTAAATGGAGAGGGACATTGCTACTGTTTGTTGTTATTTTCATCCTCTGTAATGTAGGCTGTTGTTCATTGGGCATATACGACACAAAGGATGTTTATATCACTCTCTCGACAAAAACAAACAAAAAAAAAGGAGAGAAGATTTATTTTCACTTCCCAGACTTGCTTACAACTAGACATCTCAAAGACAGGCCTCTGTAATCCTGAGCTTATTATTGAGACATTACTCATTACTGTGCAATCCAAAGATTGTGTACTATCTCTCAGCTCATACAGGCACTTATATTCCATTTTTTCTTATTAAAAATACAGAAGTTAACTTACCTGACACGTGAAAGCAACTGGGTCAGCCACTTTCTTAAAAATGAGCTCAATCTCCTCTAGAGCAGTATAGTATTCGATCTGTGCTCTGGTCACAATGACTCCTCCACAGTAGACATTTACGTATACAGGACCAGCAGGAAAATCTTATGAAACAAAAATCAGAACAGTAGCTGAAAATGTTTTTACAGTTCCACACCAGAGGTCTTGAAGAATGAGTGAAAGAACAGGAAAATATCACAGAAGATGCATAGAGACAATGAACTGGATTTGCATTTCACAACTGATTCACTGTAGTCAGTTTTTTATCCAGGTCTTTCGGTCTAACATTAAAAAGATTACAAAAGAAAATACATATCTGAAAACTCATGTAAAACAAAGCTATTGTATTGCTTCACGTTAGAAAGGAGACGAAAACAGTATGCTTCAAATTTCCAACTTCCCTTTGATACACTGATGACCTATAATCATCTCCCTTATGCCTACAAATGAAGGAAAAGTTCATTTATTACAAATTGTAGAATTGCTATTCATCTTCTGACACTTTTTTCTTAATTGCGGGCAAGGTTCTCAAAATTGGATTTGAACTAGGCTGCAGAAATTGCAGTCTAATTACTTCCATTCCAGTTGTTTACCTAGAAAGAGCTAAGGAAAGAGGCATTTGTACAGTCTGTTACTTAAGTATGACTTGCTCTGTGTATGCAGCATGAGCCCTCTTTCTCAGCACATGTTGTAATTCTTTAGTGTTCATTATGCCAGGCATCCTGTGGTACCATACCAGCAATAGCTTGGTTTGCTTAAAATTCTAACTCTGTCCACAAAAGAGCAATAAAAATGGGCAACCCTGAAAATGGAGAAGAGTAATAGGGCCAAAGAAACTAAATTAATAGATCACCGTAAATCACTTAAATGAGAACTGCCCAAATGCCTTTTAAAAAAAAATAAAACCACAAAACAACAACCTAAAACATTTTTCTTATAACATCAGATCAGCTGGACCCTTATTAAATGTCCAACTTAACATCCAACTTTTCCAGATTTTAAAACAGGAAAAAGCCTACAGAGAGAAGCATTAAATACAAATTATATAAGAAACAAAATTAAACTTGGGCAGCAACTCTCTGCCAATTTTTTCACAATATTTCATTCACTGTTCATATTTTGTTTCTTCAATCACTACAGAAACCTGCCCGTGATCAACAACGGTCTCACAGAATAATTCTGGAAGAATCTTTTAAGATCTGTGAACAAGGATTTCAGCCTTCCTCCTCTGCAATCCAGTTACAGATGAACATTTCCTGTTGGTCATGTACCCGTAGATTAGGTTTCTAAAAACAATCTCTCTGCATCATCACAGTGATAAAGAACTCTCAGGCCATACGTGGCCAACATCTCAGGACAGTGTTCAGGAGATAAAAATCAGACCACAGAATTACTTAAACATAGTTCCAAGAAGCCACTGTTGAAAGCTGTACCCTGTATGTGTGTATATATATATGTGTGTGTCTACATATGTATATATAAAAAATTCTTTCAATCTAACATTGTATTGCAATGGTTCTAGAATAAAATATTATATAAATTCCTTTGGGAATGCACAGCATGCAGTGCAGGATCAAGCTACACTCTGAACGCTTAGGTGAAAAATTTTTTAATTCTTATGTCACATCAAGTGAGTGGATATAGGTGTGACCCTTACACCTGCATAGATCTCCTAAGAGAAACAGTTGTTAAATAGTTGAAACTGTTGGCAACTAGTTATGGATGGAGTAGTTGAAAAAAATCATTAGAAACCAGCAGAGTTGAGTGATACAGAGACATGTCATGGACAGGAACAAAGAAAAGAAACCATTTCCTCTGCCAGTAAGAATTGCAGAGCGGAGTACAATGAAATTTACTGCATTAAATATAAAATGAAACATTTCAGTAAGCAAGCAATAAGAAAACAATACTAGCCTAGCATTTTATGGCAGTGATCCAACGACATTTTAAGACTGCCACCTGCCATTTAACCACACAAAACCTAGCCTCCCAGAGAGGAGAACCTAGCCTCCCATAAAAATACAAGGCCTTGCTTCTCTGCGTTATTAATAAACGTTCTGTGTGCAAAACCCATGTACAGGAAACACCTAAAAAATAGTGGGAAGTGAAACTACTTACCAGAAAAAGTGAAAGGAGTCCAAAATTTTCTATTTATTAAAGGAAAAGAATGTTTTTTCTTACCTAAAGCTTTCATGTACTTGACCTTCTTATTCCAAGAGGCTGGCTGTGTCCTAATTCGTTGATTATCTGCTATGAATTCAATTTCTAAAGTTTCATCATCTATTTCATCTTTCAACAAAATGAATATTTCACCAGGGTTCTATAAAATTAAAATGCGTTCTCATTAGTCCTTCAGAAAATTACACTGAAAGCATAAAATGCAAATGAAAACATAAATTGAAAACAAAGTTCCTTTACCGACAGCTTCATATAAAAAAAAATAATACCAAAACATGATGCCATCTCAGTGTTATCCTTTAGTATTTTACTGACATAACTGTGTGTAATGACACAATTAATGCAATATTTTAAATTTAGTTTACCTAACAATATTTTAAAGCAGTATTTTAAATGCTTATGTAAGTGATGGTTACATTCTGTAAGACTCTCTATAGTCTAGAAGAATGACATTCAGTCTAAGGAGAAGAACCTGAAATACTTTAGACTCACTTAAACTCTTACAGTGAACTGACAGTGAAGTAAGACAGAAACAGCAGGTAATGTGAGACAGTATCCCCCTACTGCCTCCTGAACCAGGGGGAATGTTACTCCCTTAGATCTGTACTGATCTCGACAAGGAACTAATGTAAATAGCAAGCAGAACACATGACACTCCATGTACACCACAGCCTCCATAGCTGATGATGACCACTCACATAACAGAATGCAAGGCTGGAGACTGTACTTCCTCTGTCAACATTTTCACTTATTTTCTCATGGCAACTTGGATTAGAACTGAACACATGCACATTTGTGTCAGTTGGATACGCTTACAGATATGTGTAAATAAATTTTTCTGATTTATTTAAAATCAGGCAAGCTATATGTTCAGAGTCTATCTCAAAACCATTTTATTTGCAAATTTTTGGCTGCGATGTGGATGCGACACAAAAGCAAAATGAAACCCATTGCAGTATTGATGCCCACTCATTCCGGCCCTCTGTCTACTATTTATTTTCAAAAATTTTACAGTATGGATGAGATTGCAGCAGGAAAAGACAAAGAACATTGATCCCAAAGATTTTAGCACCCGCAAACCTTACCTCGCATGATATTCTTCCCGGAAGCACCAATATCGACTGCTTGTCAGTTTCTAATGTTTCAGAAAGTACCTCTGTTTTAAAAGTGAGGTCTGTTTTTTCCGATGCTCCCCTGACATCTGACACGTTGACATCAGAGTTAGTCTGGTGATCTGAAACAAATAATGTGGAATTACAACATTGTCAACAACCCTAGATCAACAAAACATGGCAATGATGTGGTTTCCAACATACTAATATAGCATTGGAGTCCCGTTAAGGGCACTGCATGTAAGCCTTTTCAGGCACTTGTGGTGAGGTTTCCCCCTTTGATGAAGAGCTTGCCTCCGAAGTTGTGATCCTGCAACCTTTATTTATATGAACAGGCTCTGCCTCATGCTTCATCTTACTAAAGTCAAAAGGGACACAGGCTTTAGAGCAAAGTCTTGACCAACAAGGTACCAGAGCTCCGCCAGTTTTGTAGTCTCAGAAGAACAAACTCTCATACACCAGGATAAGCTGGGATTTTTACCACTCTTGCTTTCCCTTATATGTAAACAAGGCCATGCTACACATTTACAACACCAGCTCACCTGTCTAAAAGAGGGACTTGTGTGAGGGCAGTGACACATGTGACCAGGTAACTATGACATTAGACACAGATTTCTGTGACACAGCCTACATAGTCTTTGCCCCCCTTCACGGACAAAACGACGGCACACATTTTTTGTGGGGGATATTCTGGATTTGGAAACATTACGTCAGTCATACAGATAGCTTGCAACCAGCTTCTTTTCTGTTTTGCTGTACCAGTAAAGACCCAAGAGCCAGAATTAATCCTTCACCAAATCACAGAATTTTAATGAGGAAATATAAAAGAACTGACAACTGCATCTGCAGAGATCTGACTAAGCCTATGTTTTAGAAAAGCTATTCTTCACACCTACTATGTCTCAACTGTATCATTACTACTCCTTTCCAGACACTCTATTACCCTGTACAAAATACTCAAGCCACCCATCTCAAAGGACTGCAGCAGCTCTTCATCATGCAGGACTACCCAACATATTGCAGTCACCTAGTTAAATTAATGATACCATTCCAAGCAGCTCAGAGTTTAACAATCTTGACTGGCTGGTGAGAAAATATCCTGAGAGACAGAAACGTATCTTGCATTACTGTAAATTATGGAACACTCACAGTCAATTACATCGAAGGACACAAATAACTTTTCAGGCATATCTTTTCCTCTTAAATTCATGCAGAATATTAATGTAACTTAGTAATGGGCAGAATACGGGACAGTAGCAATTTGGCTCTGCGCAAACAAGTATCATATCCATTTTGAGTTTCTTCTAGAAGTGCCCAAGTGAGTGAGATACACAAACCACACAGTGCCCCTAAGTGACACAGAACTCCTTCCATTCAGCATCAGTATTTACCATTAGTTTTATCACCTCTTGTTTGCCTTTATTTTCCCCACATGTACCAGTTTCTCTGATACAGAATGTTACCCTTCCTTACAAACCTTACCTTGCTTAAGAAAGCATAGATTTAATAGACTTCTGTAATAGAGGTGACTGCTAAGTGAAGCTATGCCAGGAAATGTAGCACAGAAACTCAAGTATGCTATGTCTGACAAAACTAATGATTCTTTGAACACCTAAAGTGAGCAGGCTCAGTGTTCATCACCAGCTAGTAAAATCTTCCCAGTCTATTCCCACTTATATTCTCACATCTTCAAGGCAAATTAATTCTCAATTTTAGCTGTAAACGCCATGTAGATGGGTATTATTACACTGAACCTGTGTGTAAACATACTCTACTGAATTGAACTAGTTTTAATTCCATTTGCTTTAATTTATTTTGAAAGTTAAACAGGCTACACTGAACAAAGGCTGTTTCGATTTTGAATGAGAATCCATGCACAGTTCAATGCAGTTTAACTAATCCAGCTCAAAAAGTTAGTACATTAATTTCTCTGATTATCACTGCGAAGACTAGACTTTATTTAGAACCACCCTTCAGAAAAAAGAAGGTCTTGCTGACGAAAACTGTCAGATACTGTATGCCTATAGCATACACTTTGAGATTCTTACCTGCTTGTATTTTACGTCACTCATCAATCTTATACTTAAGCACATGGAATTTACTTCAGAAGACAATTCATATAAGGTGCATGCTGCTTCTAAATTTTTCTGCAGCCACTTTAGGCAAAAGAGTCTTGCAAAGACAAGAAACGGTTCAATATCAGATTGACAAAATGAAAGGGCTGAATAGCAAATCTAATAGGCTTTAGATTCTCAGGTGTCAGGTTTCTGTCAGCGACCATGCTTAAAGGATCATGTAGATGCATTCTAATCTATGTGAAGCTGAGGACAGCTTTATTCTAGTCTGCACTCTACTTATCGAAGACGCCCGCAGTTACTTCCATCGTTTAATGTCCACAGTAATTCACCTACTGAGAAGGTCAATGCTAGTGTTAACAAGTTGGTTTAAATTAGGATAACGTCTTCCACCCACATTAATTGCATTTTAATATTTTCATTATGCCTAATGACATAGCTACAATAACACGGTTTCAACCCAGTCAGTACTGGGATTGCACAGCCCTAGCATTTAGACAAATTATTAAGAAATGGGGCTTTTACATCAAAGACTTGGGTATTTAGGAGAATGAGGGATTCCCCTGCTGACTGTAAAAGTGGTTAGCAATTTATTAACTAAAAACCATCAAGCAAGACCCCTTTCACGTCTGCTGACAATCAATGAAAACCACGAACAGCAGTCCAAGAATAACAGGGTTCTGTATTACCAGTACTATATATTTAACAACCAAACTTCAGCATCCATCTCCAGCACTCAGATTCCTACCAGTAGCTGCACATGACCTGTCCTAAAATGTGAAACATGAAGCAACCACATGAAGTGTTATTTCTGAATACTGAACAAGAAATACATCAGAGATTAAGCTAGCCTTGGCTTCACGGCTTTAACTAAATCAATGTAGCTCATAAGGGTTTAATATTACAGTTATGAGATTCTAGTAACACAAATGAAGAAACATATAGAGAACATTTGTTTCATGCTGGTAGAAGGTGTTGCCTGATGTACAGGTCTTTGAACGCTTAAATTTTGGCATCTTCACTGTGAATCCTCTTCACAGTCCTGTTTTCAACCTGAAATCAATGGCTAGGGAGCTCTAATAATTCCTAAGGCTCTCAGAAAACTGATTATTTAACAAGAATTTACAGCTGTAGGTGAAGATACACTTAAAAGAAACATAAAAGGAACACCATTATAATGCCAGAATATCCAAGAGAAAAAAAAATTATTAAAGGATAGTTATTGCTTGATGAATGTGTTCTTTTAATGCTTCATGTAATGATGACCTATCCATGAGGTTGTTAAAATAAAGCAATAAACTAATGCATGAATAAAACCAGACCTTTTCTTGTTGGATCGAAGTATAAGAAATTATTAACTGTATCTAACGATGCTTACACAGCACTATGAGCTAGAAGCTAAAAAGAAAGGAAAACCTATTATAATCTTCCCTTGAGTATTCTGGGCAGTCCTACTGGCAATTATTGTCTATTATAGAGGGCAACGCTCCATTTCCATCAGGTTACTTTTGTTGGCCTATTTTTGACAAATATGTACTGCATTGAAAGGACTGCTCTTAAATTAAGTTCATATTTAAATAATAAAACATTATACACATTTACTGTAACAGTTATTCACTTAACTGGGCACAGTGCTGATGTTTTCAATTTTACTTCAATGTTCTCTGTTAATTCATGTAACTTCAATACACCAATTTGGTACATTTTACACAAAACCTTTTGGAATGCATTATTGCTTTCAATTTAACATTTTTAACTGAATTCATGAAACTACTTTGAAATCACATTCCTCTGCATAAACTGAGAAATTTTAATGAAGCCTCTGTAGTCTCATGTGGATTCAAAAATTAATGCCTCATCACAGCTTCTGAAAAACTTTCATGCCATATTCAACCTTCCTCCTGCCCCCAAATTCTAATTTTTCAAATATACTCTTTAGCTATCCCTGTTGCAGTTTACATGAGGATTATAAATTGTCTCTGTCTTTGATTACTTGCTACATGTTTCGAGTCAACAATGTATGTGACAGATTTGGGGTATTAAAAAAGCAGAAAACAGAAACTTATGAAAGATTCATGTTTTCTAAGGCTACCCATGGAATGAATCTCACAGCCGAACATTTAGTTGGTTTTACAAAAGCAAAATGCCTGCTGGCTTTACAAATTTCAGTTCTTCCTCAGGTCTTGCTAAAGCAATGCCAGCTGAATAACCAAAATGGCATTACAAAAAGGGTCCTGCTTTATCCCTAGATCACATAGCATACAAGAGAGAAATCAGGTTAGGCAGATGACAAGGAATGGAAAGATAATTAAGCATATGTGGCCAACCTGCCCCATGAAACAAAAGACAGGGTGTTCCAGTGTCAAAGACTGTCTTCTACTTTCGTAAAGCACTTAGGTTAAATTCAGCAGATTGTTTTAAGTGCAGGAGTCACCCCATGTAATACGGTAGGACCACTCACCAGCACAATGTGAGGTAGATAAAGGTACCACTGGGTTCTATGAAGTATAAATGTGCATGTGTATAAGTAACTTCCTTGTGATTCAAAAGCTTCAACTGTATTTGTGAGTGCTCTGCAGAAATGTGGATGGAAGTAGAGATATTCAGATTAAAAAAAAAAAGTAACCTTCTGCAATATGGAAAAGAAAAGACTTATGCACATTATGTTCTTACTGCAATCCATCCTAAGTTTATTACAGACCTTTATGAAAGTTATTCTTCTAAAAGTGTGGGTATTTGTAAACACTATATGAACTCAGAGCGTGCAGGAGAGTAGGATTGAAAGGCAGCCTCTAACTGCATAAATTACTCTATAAATGATCAGAGAAAGGCTGTGAGAAACACGGAGGCAGAAAACATCCACCACACTGGGCTTCATTCAATGAGATTGTTTGCCTCTGCATGAACATGTTATTTATTCATTGTTACCACAAGCCCTTTCCAAGACATTATCTCAAAGTAAATCTCCTTTTCTGCTGAGTTTTCTTTTACTGATGGTGAGAAAGTGCTTAGAAACTGAAAGGTTTCTAAAAAATCACAGAAAATTA